TAATTGTAGTTACCTCCCTTAAACTTTTTGATACAGTTACAAGTTAACCCCCTTTATTAGAATCTTCTAAAAAGAGGCATAAAATGTCTAAAATACCTATACAGTTACCATTGAGATTGGTTCTTCAGAAAAATAATACAAACTTTATTAAAACAAAAAAAAAAAAAACAGAAAAATAAATATTTTGGTCAAAGTAATTGCATGAATATTTTTAACATTTTTATATCTTTTTAAAGATTCTAAAAAAAGGGTCTAACTGCAATTATGTCAGAAAACCGAGGAGAGGTAATTATAATTATCAAACTTCAGTTTTGAAAATTTGCCCTTTTTAAAACTCTATAAACATATTTAGAAATACCTGTTTTCTAGTTCATGCTGCATAGATATTCTTGCTTTTGGATTGTTGGGGAACGTTTAACTAAACAAAGAGGCAGAGGGAAGGATGATTTAGCAATTTTGCATTTTTTGTCAATCTTATTAGGCAAAGTGATAAAATCAAAAAGTTTAGGGATTTTGTCAGTGTCACAAAACAAAGTTGGGGGGGGGGGGGGGTAAGTGTTAACAACTCCCCAAATATAGCTGTTTTATTTCAATAACAAAAATTTAGTGTTTTCGAACCATTCAGCCTAGGAACCATCCAAGCACCCTATCCTATTTCACTGATTAGTGACCTGTTGACCTAAACGGTTAAACAGTAGACCCATTTCATCCAAACAATATTTTTTTGACTGTTTTTTATTTTAATTATTTTTAAAAAAACTTTTAAGTTAAAATGAACAGCGACAACCTTCATTTAAAACCTTGCAAAATCCTACAAATTGAAAAGCGACAATCTTCCAGGTCCCACGACAAAATACTATAACTGTAAGTCCCCATGGGTGCTAATGTGAGAACTGTCCAGGGTCCCGCGCGACCGACCAGAGAAAAGTAAGCGTGGTTAAATTCACTAAGCCCTACCAGCTCTAGGCCAATAAATGACCGATCATTAACGGCGTTAAACGGAACCAGTGCAATTGTGTCATAATAACTCATATTATAATTTAGGGAAAATTTTCGAAAGGTAACTCCAGGTTGAGTGTTAATTTAGTATTCCAACTTTAAAATGCAATAACCTAATATTTAAATTTTTAAAATTCGATAATCTAGTACCTATCATTAATGATCGTTAGTTATGTATATCACGTGATTTCATGTATGATTTAAGACTTTTAAAAATATTAAAATTATCTTTAAAAATATTGCAAGCGCTTGAAATTACCCTCAACAGTCCAGACCAAGATGATTGGCCGTTTGAAGTAGACGATCAGCTCCTTCGTCGTCTGCAAGATGGACGTATTGCAAGCGCTTAAGATGGATGGTTAAGCGTGGACCATTTGACGCTTTGGAGTGTTGTGATAACAGATGTTTCATCCCTCCCTTTGTCATTATAGACGACGATTATTTGTATTGTGTAATGTGTGAACGGTGATTATCTATAATGTGTAAGCAATGGTTAACCACCTGCAACATTACAGACATCAATTATCTGTAATGTGTGAACAGATCCTTCATCCCTCCCTTTGTCATTCAATTCAATAATGTGTGTTAAGCTCATGTAATGTTGCAGACGGCCATCTTAAGGATGGTTGCAGATGTCTACAACATTACAGACACTTAACCGTCGCTTAAGATGGTTGGCGCTTAATCACCTGTGATAACAGGCGCTTAACACATTACAGATAATCGCTTAGTTGAATCAGTTTGGACGGCATCCGGCCTCCGAGCCAATGACCCACACCATGAGAAATAGGCTGTTACAAAGCTGAGTCGATGCCGAGAGCTTACTGAAGCTGGTATGGGGAAATCCCCTCGCCAAGTCTATCGACTCTCTCTCCCTCCTTTGAGCTTCAATAGCAGTGAAATATAGGAGAAAGAAAATGAAAGAATGAAAGGAGAAAGCTCCAATTGGATTTCTGGCGCGTTCTATTTGTCTTCGAACAGGGGTAGAAACGCTAAGTATGAGCTACGCTAGCTGTTTATGAAAGGGAGCTCCAACAACAACTGTTGCGACCAAATCTACTTCGTGAATGATGTATATAAAAAAAAACAGAGGAGGTTCGACCAGTTTTTGCTTCGGGCCATTGGCCTCCGAGCAGATATAACCTCACGGGAGATTACAGGTTAATGGGAGCAACGTGAGATGTTGGATTGAGTTTCTTCAACCGGTGAGATCTATATGGTCGCTACGTCGATCTTTCCTGTCCAAATGCTGAAGCTACAGAGGATGGGGTCGATGGGATGAGAGAGCTTGAAAGTAGTTGAATACTAAGGGGGATCGGTGGGGAGTAGAATGGGATCGATGCCAAAAGGGGTTAGTCGAATGAGAGTAACAGAGGAGTTTCGCCGCTACAACTCCTTTGTTTCTTGTCGGAAATGGTGATGAATAACGAAGAAAGAAAAAGGAAAACCAGGGGTTGTTTGAAGGGCATTTTTTATATAGTTGTTATTTTAGTAATGGAACACCTAGGTCACCTATTAATAGAGGGTTAATAAAGAAAATTAAATAATTCTTAAAGGGCATATGTATCTTTTTCTATGACATTTAACGATTGTTTAACAACAGGTACTAAATTGTTGTATTTCGAAAATTACAATACTAGATTGTCACAAAGTACATGTAATAAATTAGCACTCACCCTAGAATTCGCCGAGAAGCTGGAATCAGTGATGGGAGCCTTGTGGGCCAACCACGTGGATTGCTGCATCTTTCTGGTGAAATACGGTTTGACAACCGGATTCAGACTACGCCAAACATGTTAATTAAGGCCAGCTGGCGGTTCACTATTGTTTTTTCCGAGAAGTTTATGCGTTCATTGGGTACTGGTTTGGCGGTTATCCGGTCGACGGTAGTCGGTCATTAGGTCATCAGCAATCAGGCTGTCAACGATTGATTAGGAAAATATTCCATTGCCTGGACGGTGATGGTCATTGAAGGTCGACGAATAAAAAGTACTACTTTTACGAAATTAGCTTTCCGTCTCAACGGGATGAGTGCTTTTGAAAGATCTTTTGAAGATCTAACAAGTAACTACTGCCAAGAAAACGCAATAGGCTTTTATATAAAGATTTTGGTAGTTTATAGATCGTTTGGTTGGAGTAGCATTTTTCTGTACGAAGATGATAAAACGAAAAAAAGCCGGAAAAAGAGTTTCTCCAAGTTCAAAATAAATTTTTTACATCTTTTTCTTTTTTTTAGCGGTTAGATATTTTTCCAACTACATAGAAAAACCGAAAACATAAACTATTAACTTCCAAACAATCGACAGCTCGTACGAAAAATATGCAGCACACGGATTGAAAATCAGAAAATCATCACCGTAGTTGTAGTTGAGGAAACTATGGATGGGCACTTTAGTCATTACACTTAACTAAGCCACCGGTCTCTCTGGACGGCTCTTTCTGTCTGTGCTTAACCAAATATAATATAAAATACTAAGGTGAATAGGGAGAGGTGGCCCGACCATAGTGACACGGCAATAGCCCGTCGTGGAGGCTTTCGCTTTGAGCGAGGCCCACCTAGGGAACGTATGATAACAGCTGATAGTTTATTTTTTAGTTATTTTATATTAATTTAGAAGAGAAAGTAATAAGGCATTCAGTTCAGCCACTTAAGCCGTTACCAGACAGCCTCAGCTCTTGCTCTTGCTCTATAAATAAGGCATGGAGGGATCACTCTTCTTGATCTCTTAGCGAGGGAGTTATAGGTTCTTAGACAGCTTGTTTGTCTTTTGGTTTCTTTCCAATTTCCACCTGGTATTCATAATTCGATGCACTGAAGTCTAGGTCCTTCTATTTTGGAAGGAAGAAATCCCACGGCATCCCTCCCTCTGATCGCCCCCACCCCACCCGGAGATCACTCTACTTTCCTCCTGAGCTTAGCCGTCCCCCTCGCTTCACTTATCTGTTTCCCTCTCCGGCTGTCCGTCACTCTTTCTTTCCTCAATTGAAGACTCCGTACGTTTTTTCCGGTCTTATTGGATCATTTCCTTGACTTGTGATAGATCCATCTCTGTTAATCTGCTCTTCAATCTTCTGCTTTCAAGATTCGGAGGTAATATGTTCTCTTGATTTTCCTTTGTTGGCATTTTTTTTCTTGATTTTCTTATTTTATGTCAGTTGATAATGCTCGTATACGATGGTAAAGTTTGTTTTCTGGCTTATTTTCTGTGCTTCTGCTATTTTGTTGAGATGTAAAGAGGGAGAGTCAGGTTTCAGACTTCTCGTCTGTTTTTTCTTTACTATTTTTTTTTTCTGTTTTAGTTCTTATGTTCTTCACCTGGTTATGGTTCTAGTGGAGTTATGTCGGTTTCTTGGATATCTTCCTTTTTTCTGTTTCTTATTTTACTTTTTTGTTACTTGTTATTATCTCATATCAACATTCTGGATTCAGCGTTCTTCTTTAACAAACACACCCCCCCNCCCCCCCCCCCCAAAAAAAAAATAAAGGAATTGATTGTTCTTCTCATTGATATTGCATTTCCCGTCATAATTTTGTTGTTTTTTTAACACTCGAGCTGCTTTCGAGAAATGCTCATTTCTTCTTGGTTTCCTGTTCTTTTCTTTTATGTATATTGTTTCCCTTAGTTATCTGTAATTTTCTCTTAGTCGTTCCTGTTGTTTTGAGAAATTCACTGAAAGTTCTTTCATTTCTTATTTTCATAGTCTAATATTCGCGGAAAGTTTGAATTTTTCACCGTTGCTGACCGAAGAGTCTGTCTCTATTCTAGATTAATGGCTCTATATCAGAACGATGACCTTGAATACATGATTGATGATTACTATGATATGGCTGGTTTCGAAGATGATCCTTTTGAAGAAACTCAGCAACAGAGAAATGGTGAAGATTCAGATTTTGAAGACGATTTTGACATGGTATGTTTGGCGGATTATGGTTCTTTACAACATTAAATCATATTAACCTTACGGTGGAAATCATTAATTTTGGGCCTACGTCTTACCAGACTAATCCAAAGACTGATACTTCGGCTCTAGAGGCTCGGAATGGAAAGGATATTCAGGGAATTCCATGGGAGAGAATGAACTTTTCGAGGGATAAGTACCGTGAGATGAGGTTGAAGCAGTATAAAAACTACGAGAGCCTCTCCCACTCTCGTGAAGAGATAAAAAAGGTAAGCCTTTTTCTTGTTTTAAGTTGCAAACCTCCTCCCTCCTTTCAAATACTTACTAGGTAGATAATTAACTGGTTGGCCTTGAAGGTACTCTTTCATTTCCGGGTTCAGATGATAACCATGTTTAAAACACGAAGACTGATCTTGGCTTTGACCGCGGGTCTTTCTTTCCTTGCGTTGAGGCTTTGATAAAGCTATGAACCGTTTTGTCGTATCCATTTGAGTTTTAGGGGGTTTTATTCTGTAGCATTGACACAATGACACCTAGTTTCTTCTCTTTGATAATCCCTAAGATTTTAGCCCTCTTTTTTTTGGGCCTTGTCATTACATTTTTTTTCTTCCTTTTGTGGTCATATTTATAGGTTACCTCAATCTATGCCTCTGGCCTGATGATGGGGAAAATCATTTTTCTGTAATGTCCCTTTCTAACAGATTCTCCTCCACAGGGATGCAAGACGGTGGAGAAAGGGAGCACCTTCTATGATTTCCAATTCAACACGAGGCTCGTCAAATCTACTGTTGTGCATTTTCAGGTAGAGATTTTATCCAATCGTCACTTTTCTAAATCTTTGGTTCTCAATAATCATAACTGGTTCCTGATTATTTTCCAAGGCAAAGGCATCGCGTCATCTGTATAACCGAAATTGGTATATTTTTCCTCATGTTTCGGAAGTAGTAATTGAAGTCTGCTTTGTTAGTTGTGATTTCAAAATAACCCAACTGGTTGCTTCTCTTTATTAGTTATCACAGAGCAGCATGTTGAGATTGTATGTTCTTCAAAAGGGTAAATGCCTTAAAATATTCCCTATGGTCTTACCAAGAGATGCTAGTTTTCCTTTATTAGTTGGTTTATAAATCTATTTTAGAATTTTACACTGCACAGTCATTTATTTCATTTCTTGCTTCTTTTTTGACTTCTCTATTAATTGTTTGTTTCAAGGCATTTAGCTATTACCTTCTAACAATTTCACCAATTATCAGTGATAAGAGGTGCCATCATTTTTTTTTTTGTTTGTTTGGGGAGGGGGGGGGCATTGGGTGAAATTCCTAGTAGAATTAATATATTTATACAGCCAAAGTATCTATTTTTCTGGTTTAATTTGTTACACCAAAATATTCGTTGAGAAGCTCCCATTAGAAGAGCCATAATGAATATCCTTGTCTATTACAGGTCAGAGAAAAGGATAGAAACTCATGCAAGCTATCTCTTTATGTATATTGTTGAGACATAAATTCATGTAAATTCTGACATTAGAGATAAAATTTTATGTTCATATGTAGTTTTCTATGCGCATATCATTAGTCTTGTAGTTTTGCAGGTCCTGAATACGTATTATATTATTGCTTTATGGAAATTTAGACATGTACATGTTGCTTTATGCCCTTATTGTCGGGAAGGTATGGATTTATGGTTGGAAATCTTTCTGTTTTGACTCCGGTAGATGCTATTAATTCATCTCTGTGGATATATGCACTACTAACTTAAATGTCACAGTGTTTCAGATCAAGTTATGGTCCAGTGAGACCATTATGCTAAAATAGTCTTTTCCAGATCTTGAGTATAAATGCCTCAAGCCTCTTGCCAGTCATGTTTGTTTTCTACTCTGCATCTATGGTCACTTTACTTTTAACAGTAGTGACTGGAAGTTGGTTTTAGTTTAGCTGTGATTTCTGAATCCCTTGTTAACATGTTCTGAAGAATCCATGGGGATATCCTGTCTTTATCTGCTATCTAAAGATTAACCTTTTTAGACTCCACTAAATCATCAACGCAGGTGGTAGTGCAGTGCAAAGATTCTGTTTATGTCTGCATTCTTTAACTTAAGAATAGTGGAGAATTGGGCCACTTTCTTTGGCATACTTAGACGAAGTATAGAGAATTGAATGGATGATCGATAACCTTTTCTACAGTGCATATCCATTGAATGAGTATTATTTAAACTAAGATGTTGAGATGCCCAAGCACAAATAGGGGTGCATGAAGTTGGCTAACTGATTTGGTACGTTGTTGATGTTACTGGTATATGGTTCTCATTTACTATGTGGATACCTTGTTTTAACTGTACCTCTTACCAAATTATGTTGACAGTTTAAAAAGGAGAGACAGCAAACTTATTCAGTTGTATCCATTTGCTAAAGTTAAATGTTTGCTGTTAATGACAATACACACAAAGGACCATACTTACAATACCTTTTACTAAACCTTTCTCAAAAAAAAAAAAATGACAATACGCACAAAAACTCATGGGGGTATATAGAGAATGCTGGTCCGTTAGCTTGTTTGTTCCATTTTAATGATTAAATTTACCAATGATAGTTATGAGTTGAGAAAAATAATATATAGAAAGGTACAAAGTGTCAATGGTTATCCTTCATGGTATCATCATGAACATTGTGCTGGTTCCTCCAGATTTTTTGTGGGATCTTTCAAACATTTAGACATAATCAGTGCTGTGTATTTTTGTGATAAATGTATTTTCTGCAGTTCAAATTATTGAAATGAGTGATTAAGTGCAGGGTTACACACTGAGTTGGTTATTACTATTTTTTGTACATTACTTGATTATTTCTTAAGGCAAATTAATTGATCATTTACCCCCGCCCTTTTAGTGAAATATGCAGCGTCCCAGGAGGTTTTATTGTGAACTAGTTTAGAAGCTATGCATCCTTTAAACTGATAATAAAATTTTAGTTGACAAATCGGTCCATGAAGTCCATGTGTAGGCAATCGTGCTCTGAAATTTTTAATAAAACTGAGTGTTGTGCATTGTTGATGGATCTTATTATTCTTTCCCTGCCTTGGGTTTTGTCCAAGTCTGCATGGTAACCGGCAAGTGTGCTTGGGCTAGGTTTCTTAAATATTTCTCAAATTATTAGTTCCCCTGCTTTTGTGTCTTCTGAACAAGTGATTGTGTAAAATGAATATTACTTTTTACCTCTTCCTGGCCAAATGGTTGTTTTTAGTTTTTATGCTTCTGCTCTGATTTGTGAAATGCCAATGTTCTTATATTGTTATTGCTATCTGTTTAATGTTGCCTTTAACCCCTCCTCTGTGACATCTAGGAGGACTTTCTATGCTATCTTTATTTCAGCAATAAAAAGCAGGGTGGGAGTTCTCTCTGAGCAGCTGGCAAATGAGGCGACCCTGTCCATATGGTATGATAGGAAAATATTTGAACATTTAAGTGACCTCTCTAGAAATTCATGTACCCAAGTGCTATTGCTGCCTCGGGGTCATGAAGGGGGACGAAGCTAGTGTTCTAGTTCACTGATTACATTTTGGTGTCTGCCCTAAGTTCTCATGCGTTTTGAAGCCCAAATGATTTTTAATCATTAATCAATAAAAGCACCTTATTATGTTTCGTTGTTAATTTGTTATAGTGTTGTACCTTAGACATTTTGCATTTTTTTTTTTTTTTTTACTTGTGCTACCTTATCTGCATTATCTACTTGTTTGGATCATTGAGGAAAATTATTGAGCACCTACCTGACAGGATATAAGCACTTATGGATTGAATGTTGAGCATTGGCAATAGTGCTTTGCTTTGCATAGGAATTTATTTGTATATCATAGCTGTCAAAGACCAAAAAACATGTTTTGGGTTGATAACGCAAGTAAATCTATTTATTACATGGCTATATGCATAAAGAGCATTTCTTTGTTTGAAGTTGCACTTGGTTTATTATTAGCATTGTTCTCTGTAATGTTTGGATATTACATTATAGTGGATTTTCACTTCAGTGAGCATAGTAGAACTTTTGTCAACATTATGGGCTAATTTTCTAGATTGTGAGGCTGGATGGGAAGCCATCTTCTCTCCATTTTAAGGTTTTCTATTGGATGACTAATTTAAAAGTAAAAAAAAAAAATCAAGTTAGTTTTGTCGATGTTCCCGAGTTCTGTTTATGCTATTCATGAGTATGGGTTGTTGCTTTCAAAGTGGACCTAAACTTTCCCCTCTCTAACTTGAACTAACTGGATGTAACCTTTGTCCATCATTTCTGGATTGTGAGGCTAAATGGGAAGCCATCTTCTCTCCACTTTGAGGTTTTCTATCGGATGACTAATTTAAAACTAAAAAAAAGAATCAAGTTAGTTTTGTTGATACTCCTGAGCTCTGTTTATTCTATTCATGAGTACTGGGTTGTTGCTCTCAAAAGAGGATTCACCTTTTCCTCTCTAACTTGGAACTTTCCTTCTGATGCTTTTACTAGTTGTGGAAATAATTCTTTAAAAATAGTTCCCTACAGATTTCAATGCAGAAAAACGCAGAAAAATAATGTGGCAATACTAATAATATAAAGGAATCATTTGAAATCATTCTCCGTATCAAATTGGTTAAAACTTGTATTCTAGGACCTGCTAAAGATGAGATTAAAAAGGAAAAGGAGGCTTTGCTCATCTAGAAAGGATTGGGGATTCGAGGTTGCGTTGTTGGATTTAATGGGCATGCTAAAGAACCATGATGGCAAGGGAATGATGATGTACCTGGGAGTTATTGGATTCCCTATAGCACTTTTTTTTCCTGTTCTGTCAAGTTTTCAAGTGTCATGCTAATCCTTCTCTCCACAAAAATGTATAAAAAAATGTAATACAATGGTCTTTTCTTCTTCTCATCTGTGGAACACTTTTATCTGTAATAACTTGTGTAATAGGGCAGTAAAATTTTCTTTTTGGGCTTTTAATATATTTCTAATTTAATGTGGAGTATATAAAGTGGGCAATAATATGAAGTTTATGTTTTGAATGTCTTACTTGTATTGAATTATAATGATGGATTTGTCAACTGGGTTAATTTGTTTGTTTATTTTTTCTCTGGCCTTTGCAGCTGAGGAATCTATTGTGGGCAACATCAAAGCACGATGTGTACTTGATGCACAATTACTCTGTCATGCATTGGTCCCCCCTCCTCAAGCGGGGGAAGGAAGTACTTAATGTGGCTGGACCAATTGTGTCAACTGTGGTAGGAACGAGTATCCATTAAATCAGTTTTTTTCCCAGCCTTGCCACTTTTCATCAAACCATTTTCAAACTGACACTCAGTGCTTTCTGCAGAAACAGACAGGATCCTTAGCTCAGTCCCTCTCAAGAGTGCAAATCAGCACGATGGCTGTTAAAGACAATTTATTAGTTGCAGGTGGTTTACGAGGGGAGCTTATTTGTAAGGTACGACGATTTATCAACATGGTAATGTGTTCCAAGTCAGGGAGAGAAAAGCCTTGGTGAATGCAAGCCAACATGGACTAGTTCTAAAGAGTTCTCATTTCTTGTTCAGTATCTGAACCGCCCTGGAGTTGCCTTCTGCACAAAATTAACTAGTGATGATAGTGCAATCACCAATGCTGTGGACATCTATCGGAGTTGCAAGTAAGGATATTAATCTATTCTAGCGTTTGGAAGCATTCACTACCAGTAAAGACCTTGTCTAAACAATCTTTCTGCAGTGGCTTGACTAGACTGATGACAGCAAACAATGACGCACAAGTGAGGGTGTTTGATACCGAAAGTTTTGCTTGCCTTAACCTTTTCTCCTTCTCTTGGTCTGTAAATGTATGTACCCCGCAAATGTGTCTTGTTTTGCACTTGTTTTAGGTACAGCTTTGAATGTGTTTTTTACTTAAAAGCCAACTTCTGATTCTTGGTTTGTTTGCAGAACACTTCGGTTAGCCCTGACGGCAAGCTTTTCGCTGTTCTGGGAGACAGCGCAGATTGCTTGATTGCCGACACACAGTCGGGAAAGGTAAGTCATGTTTTCATCTGGGTCGTACTCGCTGCATTGTTCCATTGCTGTCCATCATTCATCAGCCTGATTGATAGTGTTCTGATGTTTTATCCGACGGTTCTTCTATCTGAACATTTGCACAGGTGGTTGGTAACCTCAAAGGCCACTTGGATTATTCTTTTACTTCGGCGTGGCACCCGGATGGCATGATCCTTGCCACTGGGAACCAGGACACAACATGCAGGCTCTGGGATGTGAGAAATCTTTCCAAGTCCCTGGCAGTACTTGAGGGGAGGATGGGGGCAATAAGAACTGTAAAGTTCACCTCTGATGGCCGGTTCATGTCAATGGCTGAGCCAGCTGATTTTGTTCACATATATGATGCTCGATCTGGGTATTGCAAAGCACAAGAGATAGATCTTTTTGGGGAGATTGCTGGGATGTCATTCAGCCCCGACACAGAAGCTCTGCTTGTTGGCGTAGCAGATCGAACCTATGGCAGCTTGTTGGAGTTCAACAGGCGGCGTTGCAACGCCTATCTGGATTCTATCTATTAGCCTGCTTCAGTAGAGCTTGTGGTATTGGCGTTGATGCCAAGTGAAAACTGCTCGGAAGAGAGGTGGATGGTGGATGTACATAGTTGGCTTGAAGTATGTGTTGGTGAAGGTGCCGGTCTACGCTAATGGATTGCTTCTCTAGATTTGGATTGTGGATTCAGAGCTGTTTTGTTCTCTCGTTCAAACACTAGAAAAGGCCAGAAAGCTTTGATTGACTATTTTGTAGAGGATTGCTTTTTCTTACTCGCTATTTTGTAAATGCTGCTTCTGCACAAGCGAGTTATTAGGAGAAAAAAGTTGTCTATGTAAAGCTATTTTTGAGAATATTAGTTGTAATTCCTGTTAAACTTGTTTCTCATACTATATTTTGTCGAGTGCAAAATTTGGGGAAAGCAAATCATAGTACAAACAAATTTTGCAATAGCTGTTTATGTGAAAGTCCTGCTCGAATTCTCTTTCTTTATTTATTTGATGGGTCTTGTTCGATTGCAATTCGATTAAATTTCAAGACACCCAAATTTGGTTATGATTTGAAAAAAAGAATAAAATTACTAATACAAATTGTAAATGAAGAGTTAGTTACATTGAGCTGGAGAGTTGGTTGCAATAACTAACATCTCCCTATATATATGGTTGTATGTCTAAGATGGAACACACAAATTGTAAAAGGAAAGAAAGGAAAGTCTTTCTCTCAAATTTTCTCGTTTTTATTTCTGTTATGGTATCAGAGCTCCGGTTCCTTCAATCTTCGCACAACCTTCTCAGTCTGCAATCCTCGATCCTTCTTGATCCCTGTTTGTGGAGCAGATCTCTGAGCATTTCACAGAGATCTCTTTACTTCCATTTGTCAAAGCTCGTCCCTGTTCTTTGCTGAAACCAAGAAGGGAGCTCGTCCCCTGTTCTTCGTTGAAAGTCTCAGTCTGCAATCCGCTTCGATCGGTTTTCTTTTCGATCAAGAACGGGGCAAGCTACAAGATTCTCATCCGCCGCATCAAGATCACCTCCAAGATCTTCTGGCGATGAGCTGAAGCAGATCCAAGACGGATATTTTCTTCATCCAATAGCTCAGCACATGCCTTGTAGTAGCAGAGATATAACACATTCTATCGATCTCATATCAGAAGAGCTGATCAAATGGTTCTGTTCTGAGGACAGCCTCTGCTATTGACCTGAGGATCCTGTGCTTCATCCAAACAACTTTACCAGTGCCGAAACCACCACATCCAAGTCAGCCTTACAGAGCAAAGATTGTTGTGAAGTGCATGGCTGTAAACAATTTCTATTCTGGTGAGGGATCAGACTCCACAAACTGAGAGCTGCATTTCAAAATTTCAGAACCAGACTGTCTGAGAACTGCATTTCAGAACCGGTCATCAACTACCACTCTTTTCTTGTTGTCTGTATTGTTTGCTCAAGCTTTTCTTGCTGTTTATATTATCTGTGGCAGGGGAACCCGAAATTTCCAGATTTGTTTCTCCCTTACCTGAAGTCAGTACAATGGCATTCAGTTCTGGAAATCAGAAGAAGTCAAGTGTTACCTGCAGTCATTGCGGTAAAAAGGGTCATTTAAAGGATAAATGCTATAGGATAACAGGTTTTCCTCCCAATTTCAAATTTACTAAAGAAAAATCTGCAACTAGTGGTACACATTCTGCTAATAATGTGACTCAGGGCACTGGCATTCTGTCAAATGTTTCTGAGACATCACCAGCATTGTCACTCACTCCTAAACAGACAAAAAAGTTGTTGACTCTTCTCAATGGTTGACTCTCATAGCAGCCCCATTTCTCAATCAGAACCTCTAACCAATACTCCCTTTGCAGGTATATTGGATCGTACACATTCTGTTATCTCTCATTGCTCTTCATCTCAATCATCTTCCACTGATATATGGATTGTAGACATAGGAGCCACAGACCATATTGCTAATTCTCTCAAATACTTTGATTCTTACACCACTATTCACGATTTGTTTGTCACTCTGCCAAATGGAACTAAAGTTCAAGCCACACACATTGGAACAGTTCCTCTGGCTTCTGCTATTATTCTGAATGATGTGCTATTTGTCCCTTCTTTTTCATTCAACCTTATTTCAGTCCAAAAACTTGCCAAGGATTATAATTCTTCTATTATTTTCACTGCTGATTCCTGCGTTTTACAGGATCAATCTTCAAGGATAATGATTGGTCTTGCTAAAGCAAAATCTGGCCTCTATTTTCTTCAACCATCATTCAAGTCTGGACATCGTTTGTTTTTCTGTTTCAACACTTCTGCTACTACACAATCTACTACTCCTTTTTCTCTTTGGCATTTCAGGCTAGGGCATAGTTCTAAAGATGTAATAAATAAGATACATCAATGTAATAATGATGTCTGCCCTGCTGAATTTGTAAACTGCCATATTTGTCCTCTTGCTAAGCAAAGAAGGCTTCCATTTCCCCTTCATGTCAAAAACACTGTCTTTTCTTTTGAACTCATTCATATGGATATATGGGGACCATATTCTACTGCAGCCATTGATGGTTATCACTATTTCTTTACTATTGTTGATGACTTCACTAGATTTACTTGGGTTTTCTTAATGAGAGCAAAGTTTGATGCTATTTCCATTATTCCAATGTTTTACAATATGGTTAGTACTCAGTTTAATTGCTCTATCAAACAAATTCGTACAGATAAGGGACCCGAGTTCAATCTCTATGAATTCTATTCTTCTAAGGGTATTGTGCACCAATTGTCCTGTGTTGCTACCCCACAACAAAATGCTGTTGTTGAATGTAAACATCAACATTTATTGGTTATTACCATGTCCTTAATGTTTCAAAGTTTATGGCTTATTTCAGAGTTTATGGCCATTATGTTTTGCTAGCACCTTACAACATAATAGAAAGAAGTTCCATCCAAGAGCCATAAAATGTGTCTTTGTGGGATATCCCAATGGGGTGAAGGGGTACAAACTCTATAGTCTTGATGATCATCCTATTTTCATCTCTATGGATATAATATTTTTTGAACCTAAATTCCCCTTCTCTTCATCCTCTGCTACATCTTCTATACATAGTCGTGATGCACAATCCTCCTTATTTGACTTCTTTGCTATTCATCCTTTACCACAACCTCAAATTATTGCTGACAATGCTTCTTCCCCATCAGCTTCTGTTCCTTCCAATCCTTACTCATCCACTCCTGTGTTTGATAATCCTCCTACTTTTCCTGTTAATGCACATCCCCCTATTGCTTCTCATTTATAGCCAAAGGTTTGTTCTGATCCTATGCCTCTAAGAAGGAGTACAAGAGTAACTAAACCACCACAGTACTTAGCCGTGTACCATCATGACTTACCTGCTAAATCATCCCATCTGTCTACAGCACATCCTATTCAGAATTTCCTCTCAACATCCCAACTTTCAGATTCTCATTCTGCTTTTACTACTGCTTTCTCTTCTTGATGAACCAAAATCCTATTTTCAAGCTAAGGATCACAGCCATTGGCAAGAAGCCATGCGAGCCGAATTGCTTGCCTTGGAAGAGAATAACACTTGGTCAGTTGTTCCCTTACCTCTAGACCAGCATGCAGTGGGTTGTAAATGGGTATACAAGGTGAAGTTAAAATCTGATGGAAGCATAGAAAGACATAAAGCTAGATTAGTGGCTAAAGGTTATAGCCAACAAGAAGGATTTGATTATCAGGAGACTTTTAGCCCTGTTGCAAAACAAACTACTGTGAGAGTATTCCTTGCTCTAGCAGTTCATTTTGGTTGGTATCTAGCTCAACTTGATATTAACAATGCTTTCTTATATGGTGATTTGAAGGAAAAATGTTTATATGGACTTTCTTTTGGGCTATGTAGTTGATAAACCCCCTCACTGTCCAACATGGTTCAGATTGGTGTGCAAATTAAATAAATCATTGTATGGTCTTAAATAGGCATCAAGACAATGGAACACTAAATTTTCTGCAGCATTGTTTGAGTATGGTTTTGTTCAATCAAAAGCTGATTACTCATTGTTTACAAGATCCACTACTGAAGGATTTATTACACTGTTAGTTTATGTTGATGACATTGCTATAGCTAGTAACTCCACTGCACTCATTGCTGATCTCAAAATGTTCCTTAGCTCCAAGTTTAAACTTAAGGATTTGGGTTCATTGAAGTACTTCTTAGGTCTTGAAGTTGCAAGATCTGACAAGGGAATTGTAGTTTGCCAAAGAAAATATGTGTTGGATCTGTTGAATGACCATGGGAAATTAGGCTGCAAACATGTCTCTACTCCCATTGATCCTAATCATAAGATGGCCAAGGATAGTGGAACCCTTCTTACTGATGCTTCATATTACAGACAGTTGGTTGGGAAGTTGATTTATGTCACTTTCACTCGTCCCGACACCTCTTATGCTGTGCAGATTTTATCTCAATACATGGATAAACCTACTGATCTTCATTTACAAGTTGCACATCGTGTATTGAGATACTTGAAATCTTCCCCTGGAGCTGCCATGTTCTTCTCCGCAGATTCTTCTACACAATTGAGGGCTTTCTCAGGCAGTGACTAGGCTGGTTGCCCAGATACAAGGAGATCCGTTTCTGGCTTCTGTATTTTCTTGGGTGATTCTTTGATCACATGGAAGTCTAAGAAGCAGAATTTGGTGGCACGAAGTTCAACTAAGATGGAGTATCGCGCTATTGCAGCCACCACTTGTGAATTGACGTGGCTCTCTTCTTTGCTCATTGACTTTCGCATTACAGTTTCATTACCTATCTCGTTACATTGTGATAATCATTCTGCGATCTATCTTTCTCGTAATCCTATGTTTCATGAGCGGAGTAAACACATTGAGGTAGATTGTCATTTTGTCCAGGATCAAGTTCAGAATGGTTTCTTGCATTTACTGCATTTGTCATCTTCTGATCAGGTGGCGGATGTATTCACCAAGGCTTTGCAACCCTCACATTTTCAACGCTTAATAAGCAAGATGAACATGCTCAATATCCATATTCATCTTGAGGGGGGATAAAACAAATTGTAAATGAAGAGTTTGTTACATCTGAGCTGGAGAGTTGGTTGCAATAACTAACATCTCCCTATATATATATGGTTGTATGTCTAAGATGGAACACACACAAATTGTAAAAGGAAAGAATGAAAAGTCTTTCTCTCAAATTTTCTATTTCTGTTAATTACCATTAACTGAAAGGAGAAATGAAAGCCAAACCAACAACAAAATAAAACCAAAACCAGAATGATTCGAATTAGAATGCAAAAAAGGACTTGCATGATGTGATGTTAATTTGAAGTGACAGCATTTCTAGAGGGAACTACAAGGAAGCAAAACTTTTGTAAATTGTGGGATTACTACAGTTCATCTCTTTTATCATTAATCGAGAGCATAATAACATCATCAGTGGTTGGATTCCCAAGCGAAGCAAGCCAATTAGATAAGTAGATAATAGTTCAAGATGAATAAAAAAACAAAAATAACAATACCTATAAAAAGAGTAAAAACAGAAAACAAACATAAAGCAAATAAAATACCTGCTTGCAAATAATAGCATTAGTATGGACAACCCTGCAAATTGAAGCTCCATGGCAGATATCATCTCACAATATATTCTTTAATTACCTAAACAATGAGACAAATTCTAATTGGTTCAAACTGACAATAAGGGAAGCAAGGGTGGAATCCCTGCTTTAATTTTTGAAATAAAAGAGAAATACTTGCACATTTGTTTCTTACAAGCTTGCAACTTGATTGGTTTAAGCTTGGAAGGCAATACAAATCTTGAGATTTTGCCCCCTTCCCGATTTCTTATACTACCTAAGATCTTTGAAAATGATTCTTGACAGAGGACACAAAATTTTATTATCGCACATGTCAGTTAAACAAAGTTGAGTTGTGTCGGTTAAACAGCTGGAAGCTTGCCAGCTGTACTCTTCCAGCTGTGCTCCTAGCTAGTTGTAACTCAGTTATTTACCTTGTATAAATTCCCCTTTATATTGAATAAACCACATTTGTTCTTTTCACTTTTATGGTAACAAAGCCTCGTCGACCCTGTCTCTCTGCTACTCGCATGGCGACTGAAAGTGACCCTTCCTCTCCTTATTTCTTGCATCCGTCGGATAATCCAAGAGCGGTTCTCGTTTCGAGTCCTCTCACCGACGAGAACTATTTGACGTGGCGGCGAGCAATGCGCAATGCTCTGCAAGTGAAGAACAACTACACTTTTGTTGATGGTTCGTTGCCAAGACCAGAGGATTCTGAGAAGGAGCAAGCTTGGGTGAAGTGTAATTCCATGGTGATCTCTTGGATCTTAGATTCTTTGGCAAGAGATCTCCATGAAAGTATTGTTTACATCGAAACTGTGCAAGAAATTTGGAATGATCTTGAAGATCGTTTCTCTCAGAGCAATGCACCACACATACACCAACTGAAGTGGGACATTGCTCTGTTACAACAAGCCGGACAATTGGTTGCAGCCTACTTCATGAAGCTGAAGGGGCTCTGGAACGAACTCGCAGTTTTATCGTTGGTACCTATGTGCACATGTGGTACTGCAAAGGAGTTTGTAGTTGAGCGTGAACAAGAGCGGCTTCATCAGTTCCTCAGGGACTGAACGAGAGCTTCAATACCATCCAGACTAAAATTCTCAGTTTAGATCCGCTGCCTGGAATCAATAAAGCCTACAATCTTGTTGTTCAAGAGGAACAACATCAATCTCTTGTTGGTGTGCAATCGATTCACGCCACAGATGCAACGGCCTTGAATGTTGTGACAAAACCAAACACAAATTCAGGGGAACCATCATGGAGATCAAAGCTCAAATGTGACTATTGCAAGAAAGGTGGACACACAAAGGATTGTTGTTACGAGCTACATGGATACCCTGTTAACTAGGAAAGGGGGTGCAATTCACGATCCAAGAAATCCGGTGACACTCGACTACAGCACAGACATCCGTTGAGACAGAAGAAGTTAAGCAATCTCTTTCTGATAATGCATCTCTGATCATCGGACTAACGTATGAATAATACCAGAAGCTGATCAACATTCTTGGACTCGAGAAGACCTCATAAAAAAATCCTATGACTTCATCTAACTTTGCTGGTATGATCACTAAATCTTCATCCCATGCATCATCCTGGATTCTAGATACAGGTGCATTAGATCATATGACACCATATCCTGATCATATGATTCCGCTGAAATCATCTCGTCCTGTGAAATTATCGGACAACACAGTCTTGCCAGTTACTCATCACGAATCAATATCTCTTACACCTTCCCTCACCATTGATAAAGTGCTATTCATCCCACTATTTCAATGCAATCTCTTATCTGTGAGCAAATTGACCTCACAACTTCACTGTTGTGTTATATTTCTTCTAGAATTTTGCATATTGTAGGACCTAGTCTCGAACAAAGTGATTGGAGTGGGTAGAATGCACAATGGAATTTATCACCTACATACCTCCAAATCCATGCCAACCTCCCCAGTGTCGACAGCTGATGCTGATTCTTTGACTTCACCTACCATAAATAATTGCACTACTGTTGATTACCAAATGTAGCACAGACGGTTAGGACATGCATTCTCCAACTGAATTACTTCATTGTTTGGTTGCTCCCATGCTAAAGATCATTGTTGTGAAGCTTGTCACCGAGCAAAATTCACTCGACTCCCCTTTCATCTCAACACCTCCAGGATTGTTGCATCTTTTGATTTACTGCATTGTGACATTTGGGGTGGGTACCGAACCCCATCCATTACTGGTGCTCATTTTTTCTTAACCATTGTAGATGACCATTCTCGGTGGACCTAGGTGTATTTGATGAAAAATAAATCAGAGACGTTTTCTCTTTTGACTGGTTTTTTTCCTATGGTAAAAAATCAATTTGGAACCTCAGTTAAGGTTATTCGTTCTTATAATGAGTCCAAATTCACATTTGGACAATGATGGAGTTTTATATGACAAACGACATTATTCATCAGCGTTCAGGTGTTGACACTCCTCAACAAAATGGAATTGTTGAGCGAAAGCATCGACATGTCCTAGAAGTGGCACGGGCTCTTTGGTTTCAAGCATCATTGCCCTTGTGTTTTTGGGGTGAATGTGTTCTAAAAGCTGCCTATCTCATCAACTATACACCCACATCCACACTGAATCAACGCACACCTTATGAGACTCTATTTCACAAAGCCCCTTCATATGATCATATCCGTGTTTTTGGATGCTTGAGCTTTACTAGAGTCGGTCCAAAACCACATGACAAGTTTGCTACAAAGGCACAAAGATGCATCTTTGTTGGTTATCCTTTTGCGCAAAAGGCTTACTGTTTGTATGATCTTGACACACATCAAATATTCGTCTCACGAGATGTCACATTCCATGAATCTATCTTCCCTTTCGCCACCATCACAGATCAGAATAGTCTAGTACAATTTCCAGTTGTGCCATTACCTAGACGAGCCGATGACCAATTCCAACATGGAATCCTCAATAGCACCAGCACTCACTTCCAATCCTGCCTCTGTCATTAATCAACCTGCTGAACCCAGGCCAACGCGTGCTCGACACACGCCCTCTCATCTTCAAGACTACGTCTGCTCTCTACCTGCTTCCTTACATTTTGCTTTCTACACTACTTGAGCCCCAGTATTACCATCAAGCTGCCAAGGACCCAAAATGGCAGCAAGCTATGGCGGATGAAATAGATGCTTTGGTACGGAACAATACTTGGAGTATAGTGGATTTACCCCTAGGAAAGCATGCCATTGGCTCAAAATGGGTGTACAAAGTCAAATTTAAAGCACATGATTCTATTGAGCGGTATAAAGCCCGCCTTGTAGCAAAGGGTTACAACCAAGTTGAAGGGTTAGACTACCATGACACTTATGCTCCTGCAGCCGAGCTAGTCACTGTACAGGCTCTTATTGCCGTTGCCACAACAAAACATTGGGATTTGCATCGATTAGATGTAAATAATTCTTTCTTTCATGGTGATTTTCATGAAGATGTTTACATGACTATTCCTTAAGGGTTTGAATAAGGTCAACCTAATAAGGTTTGCAAACTACATAAATCACTATATGGGCTCATACAAGCTTCCTGAATGTGATTTGAGAAGTTCACCATCACCTTGAAGCAGTATGGTTTTCAACAATCTCTCAATGATTATTCTCTCTTCACTCTTCATCGTGATGGGCATTTCACTGGTGTACTTATGTATGTGAATGACCTCATTATTACTGGTGACTATTCATCATGTATTAAAGGCCTCAAGAACTATCTTCAGTCATGCTTCCCTCTTAAAGATCTTGGTCCACTAACTTACTTTCTAGGTATTGAAGTCATCACTACTCAATAGGGTAGTTTTCTTTGCCAACAAAAATACATACATGACGTTCTTTAAGAAACTAACATACTGGAGTGCCGGCCCAGTCATATTCCAATGGAGCAACCGAAACATTTCCATGATGACAGCAGCCCATTACTTCCAGATCCAGCTCAATATCGACATCTGGTTGGCCGCCCATTTTATCTTATAGTCACACGACCAGATTTATGCTATTCAGTGAACATCCTAAGTCAGTTCATGCATCAGTCACGACAAGAACACATGGATGCTGCCATGAAAATTGTTCGCTATCTTTGGGCTACTGCCAACCTAGGGCTCTTTTTCTCATCTACCAATGATCTATGCCTTATTGGATATAGTGATTCGGATTGGGCAAGCTGTCCCATCACTCGGCGCTCCACCACAGGTTATATTACCATGCTTGGTACATCTGCTATATCCTGGAAAACTAAGAAACAACATACAGTCTCTCGTTCTTCACCTAAGGCTGAATACCGAGCTATGGCATCCACAACAACTGAGTTAATATGGTTAAAGCGCATTTTACAAAAACTTACAGTTCCATTTGATCAGTCCATCGAGCTAAACTGTCATTTTGTCTGTGAGTAAATCATCAACAACACTATTCACACTTCCCATTTGCAAAACACACAATAGCCTGTTGATTTATTCACAAAGGCACTTGGCACTGATCAATTTCATTTCCTAAGAAGCAAGTTGGGCATCTAGTCTTTTCCTGCTCCAACTTGAGGGGGCGTATTGTCGCACATGTCAATTAAACAATGTTGAGCTGTGTCGGTTAAACAGCTGGAAGCTTGCCAGCTGTACTCTCCCAGCTGTGCTCCTAGCCAGCTGTAATTCAATTATTTACCTTGTACAAATTCCCCTGCATATTGAATAAGCCGCAGTTGTTCCTTTCATTTTAAAATTTTCTCCCTTGTTGTTGCCTCCATTATTCTCTCTATGAAACTGTAAGATGGGTATTTCACAACACAAATGTCAAGTCAGTAAAAAAGTTGAAACATGTTATTGAATTGTTTCGGTTTTGAGAAGCAAAAATAAGTCGGTTTTGTTTTAAGAAATCATAATATAAAGCTCAAGATGACAAAATCCCTTTTGAACTGAACAAAATTAGCAAAGGGTAATGGTGTCGTACTAATACTATAGATATAATTTTAATTCAATTGATATTGAACAGAGTATAGGTTTGTCTACCTTTCTTTACTTTTTTTTCTTCAAACCAAATACAGAGGTTCAATTCAATTCATTTTGTTTAAATTAGTAATATGAGTTAAACAGATACAAAGTCGTTAACTACTTTTTTTGACTCGAAACCTTTGAGATCCATACTGCCATACTCATCAAGTGAACAAAAAGTTTTCAAGATATACACTTCTTTAGTGATAAATTCTTACATCGATGAAGGACTTTAACTTACCTTATAAATTTTTATAAGTTTGTATAAAATTGAGAAACAACTTATCACAATTCAAAAAATACTGAATAAGTGAAGATTTAGGACAATAAATTCATAAAACCTATAAAAAATTATAAGACGAACAAATCATAAATTTCCCAATTTTTATTTTCTTTTTCTTTCGGCTCAAAATACGGTAGACTCGAAGGCTATGCTACGTGGTTAATTTGGTTTCATTTCTTGAAAGAACACCCTTCTAGCATAATACTTACTTCCCACCACACATTACTGCAACTATTACAAATACTCAGTCGCCATTTGATGGAAAGTTCTCTCTATACTTGTACGGCCTCGGGCTTGAGAGTGCTGAGTGGTAGCCGTCTCATTTCACTCATAAATCTTTTCCTGTAAGAAATTGTCGCAACTCGCAATATAATAATATTATTATTCCTCCATCACTAAAGCGGTTTGCTTGCAAATGTTTCCATAATTTGATGATTCTTAGAAGGGGTGGCACATTTTGTTAGCGGTATGGTTTTATGGTCTGGTTCGTGCATGGATAATCTGCATATAGAAGCTTGTCCAAACTGATCGGCCGGTAAGGCAATGGATTTAATTTCCAGCTGGCCGATCGAGACCACTTGATCGAAGGCCTTAATTTCTCACGATACTTGGGTATGCATGGATTGCCAGAAATTAATTGATTTTCCAACAACTGAAAGTTCAATCCTACTAAACTTATGTGAAGAAGGTTCAAATGGGTTTTTGGACAATTACTCGAGTGCTGCTGTGAATTATATATATTACTCTAAATAATCAACTTCCACATCGCCCCATCCCAGTGAGACAGCCAGCAAGATATGCTGATGGACGATACCCCCAACTGGTTCTGTTAAACTGAGTGTTGATGCTGGATCTTCTTCTCAGTTGTCAGGCCGAGATCATCATAATGGAAGCAATCTATCAAATAAATAAATAAATAAATAATGGAAGCTATGTCTGTAATTGTGTTGCTTTTGAAGCTGAAGCACTCACTGACCATGTTTCATGTTTGGGTGCCTGCGCTTAGCGCAATGGAAATGGGTGTTTTATCTCTTTTGGTGCAACTTGGAAGGCGATCCTCTCTTGTGGAGGTCTGAATCAAGTAGGCACAGCATTGTAAGCACATTCGATGAGTATTTAGAAATTGTTTTGACGCTTGTCACTTAAAATACCTCCAGCCTATCCTTAAAAAAGATCAAGAACAACATTTGATGGCAGTTGTTGTTAAGTGGCTTACTATGTTGTGCCTATTAGATCTGATCCTTTCTTATGCGTATTCGACAATGCAGCTGCTTTTTGTTTTCAAACAAAAACATTTTGCTACTGTGGTGCAGTTGTTTTTATTTTCAAAAATTGTCCAACACTCCCTTTAATTGTTAAGGTTCCTGTTGGTGGAAGGGGTGATCATGGGCTGGGCCAGGCCTGGGCTTAGGTTGCTTTGCACCCATGATAAGAATTATAACCCCCAGCCAGCTTGGGATTATCCAATTATAATTCAGCTCTCCCTACACTCTCTGGAACGGCTGTCCTCTGATTTTCAGATCCTTGACCTTGAGTGCCCCAATGCGTTTAAGCACAAGTGATGAGTCAAGCTAACTTTAGATTGCTTTAGGGTGAGTTTTCAGTGTTCCTCCATCCTTATACAAACTACAAGAGAGTTTTTGAGATCCAAGGAAATCCTTGAAAATAGAGAAAGGAAAAATAACCGTTCAATTGAATCAATCCAAATGAAATAAAGAGGGGAAGGAAACAAGAAAAGAAGGGGATCGTCAAGTTATTTTGTAACATGTTTTAGCATAGGCCCAACTCCCAAGGTGTCTATTGTGGGTACTTACCAGAAAAGGTGTTCATTGTGGGGTTACCCGTTAGCATTCCTTGGTTTTCTTTTAATTTTCAAAAGGTTTAATAGAATAATAGCCCAGAAAAAAAAGAAAAAAAAATTACAGAAATCTTAATTTATTTTCTTTGTGAGTTTCTCTTCTTTTCCTTCACGCTTCTCTTTAATGCAAAACTGAAAGAAATTGACTGAGTTTTGAATACAGAATCGCCAGTTAACCGGTCTGGGGACGGGGATTTTCATGATTTTCCCACTTAGGCAGATATTCAGAACATCAAAACCCATCATCCTGCCTAAGAGAGAGAGAGTTCATGCCAAAAAGCAACATGATCGATCAGATATCTTTGGACCATTTCAATTTTCAATTTTCAAACGCTTGAAAACATGGATATCGGGAGAGCTCGCATCCTCTACACCCATGTTGCAGAAAAATTTCTACAACTGCAAGTGAATTTATGCCACGTCATTCTTGCTTACAACCATTAAACTTAACGGAATCAAGGCCCTTAACCGACGTCTACACTCTAAAATATTTGAAATACCTAAAATCCCGCCTCTCAAATCTCTCCCCTATTTAGTTTCACCCCTCCCCGGCCTCTCCCTCTCGAGCACAAAGTCCTCCCTCTCCAACCTTCTTAGATTTCTGCAGCCTTGTGAAGGTCTGCGGCTGCAACCGTGGAGCGTCGCATATAAGGCTGTGTTTGATTTGAAGGAAAAAGCAGAGAAAGGCAGGAAAACCTTTACAAATCAAACTTAGCATTAAGATCATGAAATCTTTAATTCATTCCTCTTTAATACTGTTGCACTCAATAAGAAAACAAAGATAACCCAGAAGCAGAAACAAGGCTCGATTGTTCTCATTCTTTAGAGAAACTAAGTACCCAAAAAACACGAGTCACCTAAGTCAAATAACACCAATCATCTTATTCCTACACCTTTGAACGCACTAAAACCCAAGAGCGGGACGTGGACTGTTTGGTTGCTGAACGCACTAAAACCCGTAAATGTAAATCCATTGTTACCGAAGGTTTCTGGATGTGAGAGACTAATGAGAGACCAGTTTGAGGCGACTGGTCTAGTTTGGATACTGGACTGGAGTACGAGGCAAGAAAGATTTTCTCAAGGATTGGATTGACTCTTAGGTTTTCAATTCATCGCAGTGTCAATAGAAGAGAGTGGATGAGTGAATTCAGGTGGGTTAAGCATAGAGATTAGGTGTTCTTAAATCTTGTTTTTCAAATGGCTTAATCTTCAACTTTTGTTTTTAACAATTAATGATGCCGTCAAATCTCATTGTTTTGTTTTTGGGTGAGAAAACTAGACACTCAGTTAAACGAACGAGTCATGTCCGGTTTTTACATTTATGATCATGTCTTATGATGAGTGTTTGCAGCGGTAGATCTTCACGGTTGCAGTGTTCTGAGAGGCAGAGGCGATTGGAGAGAGAGAGGAGTTCGAGGGGAGACTGGAGAGATTTGAAACTTGAGAAGCGGGATTTTTTTTAATCCAAACGTCCGTTAATGGTCTTTGACTCCATTAAGTTTAATGGTCGTAAGCAAGAATGATGTGGCATAAATTCATTTGCAGTTGTAAAAATTTTTCTACAACATGGATGCAGAGGATGTGAGCTCAATGCAAGATATATATCAAGTAATGGATCTACAGACCATTTAATATTCCTTCTTCCCAAGACCGAGCAGGAAAAATGCCTCTAAACCTGATAATTTATTTCTCTTTTTGTGGGAAAATTTCACTTTAATGCCCCGAAATTTGGGGTAATGTCAAGTTAGATCTGAAACACATTCTCGCCTAGTTATTTCTTTGTTTTTAATTATTGTTTCCCTCTATCATATTTCATGTTTTTCCTCTATTTTTCTTTGAAAATAACCGGTTCAATCTCAAGGTAGAAGACAGCGAATAATGTTTTCTTTTGAAGGGTACTTTTGACATTTTCAACAGATAACTGACGGTCGTTTAACGGCAGGGACCAATTTGACACTTTTTGAAAGTTTAGGTACTGCAATGACATGTTTGAAAGTTCAGGTACTAACTCGACACTACCCCCAAAGTTTAGGGTACTAAAGTGGAATTTTCCCTTTTTCTTGTATTAATCACTACCTGACACTAGAGGTGTCAATTGGACTGAATTTGGTCCAATCCGGTCCAGCCCAATGTGAGTCCATTACAAATGGACCTGGTCCAATCCAGTCCAATGAATATTTTGGACCATTTTGAACTGGTCCAAAGATTGTTCAATCTGTTCAAATTCTTGTAAATTTAGATTGGTTTCAACTCAAACCTGGTCCATTGACA